AGAAAACTATGCAGTGTTTTTAAACTTTTAATTACAGTTTCTGTACCTGAAATTAGGTTCAGTTGTATTTATTTATGATATTGTGATTCTCAACGGTCGCTTTGTCGCATCCTTGCGGCGCGGACACGGTGTCAGCATAGTTTGTCAGTACAGTCAGTAACGCAAGAGATTGAAAAGTTAGTATCTTTCTGCAGTTCAATAGACGGCAGTGCGGTGGTGGCTTGAGTCAGTTGAATGGTGATTTAACGCTACATTGTCACCTAGTTGGACAGACTCAATGCTAAGTAAATAAACAACAATGTCCCCGTCTTTTACTCTCACAATGAGCTTATCATATTAGTTTGCTACATTAGTAGGGCCCTATGATTTCCGCGATGCAGAAAACATGGACGGAATCGCAGAATCCAGTCATAAAAATGGAATTTACTGTATAACGCGGAATTTCATGGAATTTGTCTTATTTTTGATTAATAAATAAAAAACAGTTCAGTAAATATATATATAGACTGTGTCTGTGAATATTAAACTGCAAAAAGATTTATTTAAATACGAATCCTCATGTTCTGCATGTTCATTTGATTACCAGAACATACACAACACAGGATTTGTGCAAAAATATAATTAATTATTATTATTTATTAATTTTTAGGGTTGGGTATAGAAAACCGGTTCCATTTTAGAACCGGTTCCAAATTTCCAAGAACCGGGTATTCGGTAAGACGCGTGCATTCCGATTCTGCTTAACGATTCCTGCGTTCGCATTCAGTATAGCTTGCTTGCCCTACACAGTTACCTTGTTTAATTTCTTTATTCAAGTTATAAATATTTTGTTCTATTTGTGTTTTAGAAGTTATTTATAATAAGTGAAGTTTACTGTTAAATGCACTAATGTCAGACTCATTTTGAATAATAAAGTTTGTTAAATTGTTAACTACCCTGCCTCCACTACATAGGCCTATGTTTGTCACATCATTATAAGTATTTGATCACATTTGAGTTATCATTGCAAAAAATGTGTTTATGTATATATATTCTGTTTATGTAGGCTATATACTGTATTGTACATACAGTACCAGTCAAAGTTTTGAACACACAAAGGTGTGTCCAAACTTTTGACTATACTGTACTATAATATAGCCTACACATAAAGAACATCGGCCGATATATCGATATCAGTCTTTTTTTACCCCCTAATATCGGTATCGGCCCCCCAAAAAACCCATATCGATCGGGCTCTAAAGCAAAGCCACAGCAGAAAAGTCATACATCTCAGAGCAACACACAACAGTGTTTCATTACAGAATGATTCAGCATTTTTGAACGAATCAGGTGAGCCAATGATTCAGTGAGCCATTCATAAAGACATTTATTAAATGAATCAGCCGCTTGAACGAATGGGTTGAATCAATGACTTACTTAAGACAGTGACTTGCCGCCACCTACTGGTGGTTTGGATTCATATTTTAAAGTACTGTATTTTTCCAACATTTCATATTTGTATGTTAAAAAAAGTAGAACATTAATCTTATAACATTATGCATTTGCAATTTTACTGTGCAAATGAATTTATGGAACCTCTTATCTTCATTAAACAGTCGGAGTAAATACATCTAAATGGCACTTTTGATGCAGCTTCTGTGTTTCCTCTGCAGTTAAAAGTTTGTTGATACTGATTTCATTTGAATGGTAACAACCGTCTTATTCTAACTGAATGTATTGATAAAATTTAAGAATTTGACGTAAATGATGACACGTACATTTAATATGGTTAGGAAAATATTGCCCTTCATAAAGTTAAAAAGTGTAATAGAAATCAATAAGGCAAATATCACAAATATGCTGATTAAAGTAAGACCTGATAGAGCACTGATGAGACAACTGCTTCAGAATAATTTACATTTACGGCAAAAAATAAATAAATAAATAAAAAATTTAAAAAAGTAATCCCCAGACAAGTAACCTTTTTACTTGAACAAGTCAGGACAAGCACATTTCATAATATACACTTGTTCCATCATTTTAGTTAAATTGTGGCCATGAATTAAGAATGTGTTCACTTGTTTTAGTAAAACATTGCCACATTGTACTAATTTGTTTTCTTGTTTTGATTTAATTAGGGCTGGACAATAATTCAATATCAATATGTATTGCGATATAATTTTTTTCAATAACAGTGATATGTTTTTTAAACACATTTCTGATATTTCGATATACATTACCAGTGTTTCCCATACATTGATTTATTTGTGGAGTTTGATTTCGTTGAATAAACATGAGCACTGCACATTTCAAAATCAAAACGTGGCACAGGTGTTTTATATGAATGTATCTCTGAAAGGACCCGACTCTCTTCAGAAAAGTTTCGATGACATTTTCATTTTTATCTGATAAAGTAGCGTTCATGAGCGGAGCTGCTTTGATTACAGCCTTTACTGGGGAAGCCGTTAGTTTTATCACTCTAAAAGTGCTGCCTGCTGTGCAGAGAATGAATTTGCATTTTCAATAATAAGCCTGTCTCCAGCAACATCCAGTTTTTGTTGTTGCTCAATTTTTTTGTTTTCTGCAGCAACTCAGAGCACGTTTTATACTTTATCCTGGCTGAAGCACATTTGTTTCAATCTATAAGTATAATCAGCCTACACTACGTGTCTAAAGTTTTTGAACTAAGATTTTTAATCTTATTTTTATGAATTCTCTTCTGCTCACCAAGGCTGCATTTATTTGATCCAAAGTACAGCAAAAACAGTAACATTTTGAATTATTTTTACTATTTAAAATAACTGCTTCTATTTGAATTTGAATAGAAAGAAAAATAGAAAAAAAAAACTTTCTATGAATAGAAAGATCCAAAAATTAGCATTTATCTGAAATAAAAAGCTTTTATAACATAATACACTATTCCATTCAAAAGCTTGGAGTCAGTATAATTTTGTTTTTTTGGGGGGGAAAGAAATTATAGAAATTACAAAAGATTTCCATTTCAGATAAATGCTGTTCTTCTGAACTTTATTTATCAAAGAAACCTGAAAAAAAATCTACTGATTTGTTTTCAACATAATAATAAATGTTTTTGAGCAGCAAATCAGCATATTAGAATGATTTCTGAAGGATCATGTGACTGGAGTAATGATGCTAAAAATTCAGCTTTGAAATCAAATAGAATATTTGATATTTTTGATATATTGATATTTCAAATAGAAAACAGTTATTTTAAATAGTAAAAAAAAAATCAAAATGTTACTGTTTTTGCTGTATTTCTTAAATATTATATAGTTTTATAGGAGGAGGTTTCATAGACTTGGAAAATTCATTTTTACAGAAGTTTTTAGGTACAGACATCTGTTGTGGGTGTTCTTGTCAGTTTTTATGAGGCTTTTTTTTTTTTATAGTGTTCAATCGATACCGGAATTATAATTAACGTCTCATCCGAAGGACGGTGCTTGTTGACAGTATAGTGTCCCCGTCACTATACTGGGGCGTTAGGACCCACACAGACCACAGGGTGAGCACCCCCTGCTGGCCTCACTAACACCTCTTCCAGCAGCAACCTAGTTTTCCCAGGAGGTCTCCCATCCAGGTACAGACCAGGCTCAGCCCTGCTTAGCTTCAGTGGGTAACCAGTCTTGGGCTTCAGGGTGATATGGCTGCCGGCACTTAAGGTCAAAGCAAGCATTTTCCAATCTAACTATTTAAAAATAATCAACTTATGATGGATGGTGACATCTAATGTTGATGGAAACAACAACCCAACTTTGTATCTATAGCAATTTCTATGCACAGCGTTTTCAAAGGTACGTCTGGCATTCTGTCACCTTACTGCTGCCAAGCCAACACATCAGGACAAGCCAAAAGCAGATCAGGAGGGCACACACACCTTACCTTACCTTAGGAAAACCCCCCTAAACCGCACGCTTCATAGATTGGCCAACGCCACCTCAACACCACATAAAGACAGCAAACATCCCCATTCACTACAGTTTTTGCTTTGAATTTTCAATAGATGGATGCCAGTGTGTACAAACCCGAGCTGGTTTGGTTCATATGTTTTAAGAGAAAGAAAAAGCACACTGATTCAAACATCAGGTGAACACAAAATGTTTTGCAAACTGTCGTAAGCATAGTAAAATTAGCATGCCCAAATTTGAATCAGTAAGTAACTTCTAACCACTGAAAGCAGCAGAAGCACCTATTTAAACCACTGGCTTTAGATCACAGATGTCCAAACCACCATATTTAAAAAAGATTCTACAACGAACACAACTGATGACTAAAACGGCTGGTGTCCGTCCACACTGGAAGCCGCATGCTATTGTACAATGTTCACTAACAGACCAATCAGCTGTAAGCTCAATTAAATTAAATACACAACTATGCTATGACAACTGATAAATGGCTTTTAGTATAATTAGAAACTATTTTGTCCAACTATCCATTGTGATTGGCTAAAGATTACATTCAACAGTGTTAAGTATTTTTAAAGACAAACTTTAAATGCGAGTTAGACGACAGCAAAGGTAATATAAATAATATAAAGGTAATATAAAAATAAAGGAAAGGAACGAAGAATTAAATATACAAAATTTGCCGATACACTACCCTTTAATAGTTTGGGTTTGTTACATTTTTTTTTTTTTTAAAGAAGTCTTTTATACTCACCAAGGCTGCATTTATTTGATCAAAAATTCAGTAAAAATAGTAATATTGTGAAATATTATTTTTTTAAATAACTTTTCTATTTAAATATATTTCAAAATGTAATTTATTCTTGTGATGCAGAGCTTAATTTGCAGCATCATTACTCCACTCTTCATCAATTTCTTTCCCAGAAACCCCCCCCCCAAACTTTTGGACAGTAGTGTATATTTAATTGAAAAGTCTCTAATATCAGCCAGTAACCGATATGGTACTGGTATACTGTGCATCCCCAAATACAATTCTACAGTTTGCTAAAAAGCTGAAACAAGAGAGTAATCCTAATGCTCTCTAGTGTTTCTAATCACCTGTTCAAACTTCCAACCATCTGACATAGTGGAGACCATCTGTGTCAGTTCCTCCTCCTGACACTGTAGGACTCTGTAGACGTGCTTCACGGGGAGCTGAAGGAAGGGGAAAAACTTATGAGATGACAAAATAATACTATATGAAGAGGCAAAGCACAAGCTCTGATTTAATGCAACATGACCCATAAATGTCATCAGATTAAGCTGAGAAGGCAGATTTCAGAGGACACATTTGTCATGGGATACTGCAAGAACATATTGAAAGGACCTGGAAAGGCGAACCCATGTAAAAAAAACAGGTTTGTAGAATCACCCAGGTTGCAATCTTTCTGACTGGTTAATATGTTTGAAATCAATGGGCCTCATTCATGAAACACAAACAGAACAAATGTGTAAATAATATGTGAAGGAAAGAAAGAAACCATTCTGGCACAAATTTAATTCCAACAATTAAATTGAATTATATTGAACAATTTATGCAAGAATGGCTTAATGAATGAATTACACAGAAATTTATTCTGCTAAATTTATTCTTTTTTTTTTTTAATGGTCGATGGCCGATATAATGTAGATTTACATATGAGATATAATTTAATTTTTTTTTAAAATCACATGAGATTTATGAAAACAGGGAATTACTCAAGTAGTTGAAAATAAAAAGCCTTTAAGAAATAAACCATTAAAACATATTTTTTTTCAACCATTTGAGTGCTTTGGAATTTATTGTTTGTTTTTTTCCCATTTAGGAGTTAGCTTTCATGTTTCATGTAGTGGATATATACTCTTATACCCCTACAGCACAACTCTTTTTCTATATTTTGAGGATTTACATACTATTGTTCTTATTTTACACAATATACTTAAAATTCACCTCAAAAATAATTGAGAACTTTTGTTGTTTTGTTAGATGTGAAGTAGCACAATCTTGAAAAAAAAAATAATAATTACAGCCCAGTTATAACTTAATCCCAAATTGACTTACCTGAGCTATCTTACAATCCCTCTCCCTGATTTTGTCTTTGACCAGTTTAATCAATGAAGTGATATTGTAGAATTCAGCCTCTTCCAGCACACCTGAAGGATGAAACGGATGAATTATTTAATCAAAAACCACATATCATAGACTAAAAAGCTTAATGTCAAGAACATGTAGAGCTTACAAACAAGTTACAACTGAATTTAGCTGCCAGTGCGAAAACAGAAGAAATCTAACAGCATGTTCAAACATATCTTAAAGTTCTTGATCGCATTCCCATCATACCTTCCTCTGCTAGGCCTCGGTTCAGCACCAGCTTCCCGTGTCTCAGATAGTTGAGCACCGGACCAAAATAAGTGGGATCGCGGTCTATCAAATAAGCACCTGTTTCATCCTGGACAAGGAAAGAGTGTTGTCAGTACCGTGAGACTCGTTTTCAAAGGATTTCAGCATAATAAACACCATTTTATTCAACTGTGGATTATTCAATCAGGCTTAAATGGCTCTGCACCTCATCAGATAGTTTGTTTAAATTAAATAAAGTTTTTAAAGAAATAATAAAGTGTCTGTTAAGACAAGGTGTGGCTGACATTTAACATGCATGCTGCAGAGCCCATAGGGACGCTGATCCATCTCCAGCACAACAGCATTACCATGGATCAATACTGAGGTCAGAAAAGTGAGCTTTATTTTTACAAAATTTACACTCAAACAAAAGCAACTGGCAAATAAAACTTTAAAGTTAAATCACGCAATTTCTGTTTGTAACACTTCTTTATTTATAAGAAATATTTTTTCCGACGGACATCAGAATTTCTTTGTTTTTAGCGACTTTCAACTGTCGTTGCCCTAATAAATGATGCATACTGACCTTTAAAAGTTTAAAAGCATCTAGGCAACCCTATTTCTTCTTCTGTCACAAAAAAGAAACTAGACAATTTATTAAAAAAGACCAATATACTTGTTTGACATGATAAATAATCAAACTCGGTGCATAACATATATTAGCACCAATTAAACCAGTTTAATTCTATCCTGGATCAGTTCCTCCCAATTATAGTGTGTTTTGAGTACTAAAAGAGTTATTTATTAATTTAGTTATTTACCATTTTGCTGGCAGGTTAAACAAATGTAGTACAGGAATGACTCCCTTCAAAACGTAAATTATAAAACGTATAAAAATATTACAAAAATATTATTTCGCTACTTTGTAATACTCATTTATAAACAAAGTGACCAGCAACCCAATTGTTTTCATTGTTTACTCCAGATAAACACTAGCAAAGGTATTTTATTTTTTAATAGAATAAGTAACATTAATATAGTTAATATATTTACGGTTTAGTCTGATAAACATGAATAAAATAGTTTAATTGGGTTGGTATAGCACAGTTTAACTATTTTAACACAATAGTTAATATATCTTTGGTTTATTCAAATAAACACTAGTAAGAATAGTTAGCATTAGACAATGCATTAGATATTATGAACTACCAATAAGCAAATTTTACCGCATTTAATAATCTTGGTTAATGGTCATACATACATTATCATGAATTGTTAGCTACCTAAATCCATTAGTGTGAAAATATACAATTGTACCATATGCTGACATTAAACAATATTAATAAATGCTGTAAAAGTATTGTTCATTATTATCATTATGCTTTTAAACTGAGTCTTGTTAAGTGTTACCAAGATGTCAATGGTTTAATCAGATAATAGCCTAGTAACTTAGTTTCCAGTCAGACAATCGGTTACCAACAAAGGCTAGTAATCTTTGTCATATTTAAGGTTTACTTGAACAAGCATTAGTAGTGTTTAATACTTAAGGTTTAATGAGAACAACACTAGTATAAGTTCTTCAAATAATACTTGACATGTAACGTTAGCATGCAAGTTTGTACTAATAAAGGTGTTCTCGTATTTCAACATTGAAGGCTTAAACGAGCAGAAGTTACTCAAAATATACTGCAAACCACCTCATTAACTAGATCTGACAGTCTAGAGCTGACTTTATTTGGCGAACAATCTACATCAAGTGTTATCAGTTAGGCTAAGCTAGTCAGCGGAGCTCCATTCACAGTAACTTTACCAGTTAGCCGTCTAGCTACAATTTTAAAATACATCAATATAGCGAAATGAAACACCGCAGACCCGTCATGAGATTTTCCAGTTTAACTGAATTGTTTAAAGTCCAGATAAGCGAAGTGGCAGTTAGTGTTCATTGTCGTGCTAGCGAAGAGCTCGCGGTGTAAATACCTTGTCAGAGTCGAGGTCGGGGTCGGCCTGGCACAGGCGGTACAGGAAAGATTTCGGGTCTCTGCACAGCGTTTGCCTCGTCGTGAGAAAGTACGTGCCGCCGACGTTCAGACGAACCCATTTGGACAAGCCGCTTCCAGACGGCAGCAGTCTCTCTCCGGGAGAAATAGTGAGACACCTGCGAGCGTTCGAGCCGCTCGGGTCAGGGCTCTTCTCCGCCATCCCTCCTCTGCTCTCCCGCTACTGATAGAACTGAGCGAGAGCAGGAAGTGCGCGGAGTTTGAGAGTCGCTGTGCCCTCCCATTCCAGCCAGCTACACAGGCTGTGTCTCCAAACACACAGGCTAACTATCCAGACCGCACACTTTCGGCAGCCAAACACGCTGCCCGCGCCGTGATGCCCAAGAACGGTGATGACCTATCTAGGCAGCTCGATTTTTTTTTATTTAAGACTTTTTATTCCCTACAGGATTTTCTTTCTTTTTTTCTTTGTCCTCATTCTTCTTATTTTCTATTTCTAAGAAATTATGTAATTATTACAATAATAAAAAGCAGAAAGGACGTCACTGTTGTTTCGGTATTTAAAACAGCCACATGATGAAGGCCTCTATGAAAAAAAAAAGTCTGTCAAACACTTATAAAAGAGTATTTCAATCAGTATTTCAGTCAGATGAACGCTTGTCAAATTGCATTATGTGAAGTGTGAAGCACTTTGGGCAACAGTAGCTGCATTACATGTGCTATATAAATAAATAAAAAGAAAGAAAGATATAAGGGGAAATCATGCTTTGGTAAATCATAATTACACGTAACGTGATTATGACAAAAAAAAGGAATTATGATATAAAAAGCCGTAATGATGAGACAAAAAGCAAATTAGGACATAAAAAGTCAAAATTATTAGATACAGAGTCATAATTATGATAAACAGTTGAAATAATAAAATATATCAATGATAAATATAAATCATGACATAGAAAGGAAAAGTGCATTGTGTTTTAGGGTTAAAGAAAATATCTGTAAACTTAACAGATTATGTCCTGGCAGAAAATGACCAGTGCATAATTATGAAAATTTGTGAGATAAAGTCAAAATTATAAGAAAAAAAGTCAATTATGAGATAAAAAAAAAACATAATTATAAATTACTATTAGATAAAAGGTCAAATATGACAAAAATAAAAATGAATTATGAGCTACTAAGTCATAATTATCAGATTAAAGCTGTTATATAAAAATCCAATTAAAACATACAAAGTCATAATTGATAAAAGATAAAAAAATTATGACAATTGAAAGTTGAATTTATTACATTCTGCCTTTTCTTCTCATAATCATGACTTGAATTATGACTTATATTTATGAGTTTTCATCTAAGAACCCTGACTAGGTAATTTTTACTTTTTATGTCATAATTATGATTTACAAAAGCTTTTTTTTCTTATTCTGTGAAAACAGGCTTCCATAATGATATAGGAAGTATTTCTTTGATTTAATCAGATAAACACTAAATAACAGTTAATATATCAATGGATTAGTTTGATAAACACAAGTAGAACACAGAACAGTTCATATTTCAATGGCTTAGCTAAGTATAGTTATCTAGGTCATATTTCTATGGTTTAATCAGATCATTTATCTGCATCAGTGCTTTGAGAGTGTGCATGATTGTGTTCTCATGTGCAGTAAGTATGGAATGAAGACTATTTGAGTGAGCCATGTGAAGACTGATAATACAAATGACAGTACAGTGAATAGCAGGCATTTATCATCACTTGATGGTCCTGCTATTGCTACTGTATAAAGTGAGATGTGTTTCTCATAGCTGTTGTTTTTCTGTGTAGGCAAGCCTGTGGGCATTCTCTTACTGTATATGTTTAAGATCTGGAAAGCTGAATGGTGAGTTCAATCAGTATGACCCCATTTCAGCGCTGCAAGATGTTGAGAAATGTAAACAGCCAGCATGCATGAGAGAGCCAAATGTAAAAGTCAGGGGAAGTCTATAGGGAGCTGTTGTCTTAGCATTGCTGTCTTGCACATGCTACCAACACTCTGTCCGAAACACAAGCAGAAAGATGTTACTCTTCATATACACTTTTATTATGAGCCTCAACATGATTTTCTCCTAGACATTCTTCAGTACCATTAAAGGTGCGCAGAAACCCAAGGGCATAAACATTGAATCTGATATAATTTAAGTGACCTGATTAGGACACAAAAAAAATCTCGCAAAATATTACAGCGATCATTCACATTCAAAGGCTTTACATTTCAATATTTACAACACGTGGCCCCTGAACATAAGTCAATTAAAATCTCTGAATATTAGAATATAAATAATATTAGGTACTACAGGCTGAACCACTGCCAGCAAATAATCTTATATAAGAATAAAATTATACAAGGTGCAAATGCAGTAACACTGTGTTACTTTCTGAATAATACATCATCTGTACATCACAGTTACATTCGTTGACAAACCTAGTCGAATTATAAATACACGATTGAACAATTTCTCAAAAAATGCAGGGAGAAAACACAACATAAGAGGAAAAACACACTTCTGTGTTTGATTCTCACTTAGTTACAGCATTTTCGTTTGTCTGTGCTGGACCAACATCTTTTTAAATGTACAATAAAGTGGTCAAAAACGGTATCTGCAAACACGGCCCTTATTTACAGTTGCGATTCTCTTCACAGCTCAATTCCCGTAGGTATAACACCATATTTACACTGCAAGAGAGTGACCCGGCACGACAAAACATGACTGTTGACAGCCATCCGCTTTTGCTGCAACACTTAATGCTGCTCGCTTGCAGTGTATACTGTGTAACGTACCTTATCAAGTACTTATTTTCAAACTAAACCAATGTTTATAAATAAAATGTAATATAAAACAAACATAAACAGCAGATTTAAGGAACCCAGTGCAAGTTTCACATGTGAAACCACAAAAAAATCCATTGCTGGGTAAATTTCATACTAAATATAACGGCTCTAAGGTGATTGTTTTTCTGATGATAATAATTCCATGTAATATTATATTATACAGGTGAACAACATGACTTAAGAGAATAAATATAAATATATTAATGATATCTGTATCAATTAAAAATTTACTAGGAGCATTTGAGTGTCCTCTGTAGCTATCTTTATTATTTTAAAAGGCAACAGATTCGAGTGTTTTTTCCCAAGCTTTTGGGGATACTTCCTATACATATCTATATACCCATATATAGTGTACAAATTGTGGATTTGCTGAGTTTTACTGATCTTTGATTTTATATTACACCTGCTAAATATGACAAAAACACTGCAAGCAAAACATCTTTTCTCTTCAAGAAGGAATATTGATGCACTAGTCCCATAAATGCACAGTTGACTTCCTGATTGGTAGTTGAATGGTGAAGGACTCAGGCCCCTAAGACTTGCCTTGACTGCAGTGGTCTTCTGATGCCTCGGCATGTCAGTATTCTCTTATTAGTGATATACTGTTCCCCACACCTCTTGAATCTTCTTACACCATTTGTCTGCATTACCACTGGGATCCATTAGATAATATGTCCTGTTTGGCTGCACACAAGAAAACAACGAAAAGATTTAGCAGCATTTAGCAAAGTCCCAAGAACTACCATGATATTAGCATGTTTTATTTGGATATATAACCTTGGAGCACCATGTTAATACATCATATAAATTATATTTAGTAATCATTCAGTATGATGCATTTATTAAAGGGGTCATATGATGCGATTTTTCCTTTCTCTTTGGAGTGTTACAAGCTCTTGGTGCAAAGATTAAAGTCTCAGATCCAAAGAGATGTGGATCGCCGGATCGGCTTTCACCGTGGACAAAGCGGAGTCCAGCCCGGAGTCGCCACATGTGGTTGCCACAAGCCCGTCGGACGCTCTTTCGTCAAATCCGCCGGCCACTCACTCTAACATGACTCCAGTCCATCAATTAATATCTTGTGAAGTGAAAAGCTGTGTGTTTGTAAGAAACAAATCAGACAGGACGACTTTTTCACTGGAAAAAGCAATATTATGGATAGAGCACTCATATTTTAGCTGGAAGCGACAGTTTGAAGTTAAAACATCTTAATGATGGATTTGTTTCCTACAAATATGTGACTTTTCACAAAAGACGTTAATTGATGGACTGGAGTCATGTGGATTACTTGTGGATTATTGTGATGTTTTTATCATCTATCTGGACTCTCAATACTGACGGCACCCGTTAACTGCAGAGGATCCATTCATGAGCAAGTGATGTTATGCTAAATTTCTCCAAATCTGTTTCCGATGAAGAAACAAACTCATCTCGGATGGCCTGAGGGTGAATACATTTTCAGTCAATTTTCATTTTTGGGTAAACTATTCCTTTAATACCATCCCTAAAGCTTTTAGAGAAGGCAATTGTTAGTCAAATAACTATAACATAATAACCTACAAAAGTTAAAAAAAAAAATACTATAATTTTTACCGTGTGGACAAAAAACGTCTTGAAATTCTTGGCCTCAGGACGCAACTCTGGAGACCATGGAATTTCCCCCTTTAGTACTTTATTCACAGGATCCACATAGTATAGATGTGGCCCTTCTGTCAGTAGAAGCTGACGGCGTCGAGCAAACAGTCCCTGTGAAAAATGACAAACAAGAAAGGTCAAAAACATTTACTGTCATTACCAACTGCAGCCAAAAGAGGGTGCTATTTGTTTTCATACTCAACTCTTTAAAAAAAGAAAAGGAAAGAAAAACATGCACCTGTTTTTTACTCTAGATACCATAAAAGATAAGAACCAGGGAGAAAAAAGTGTTACCTTTCGTTTGTCAACAGGTCCCATTTTATATATCAAGTTATTCTCAACAAACTGGTGCCTTTAAGATAGCAGATAAAATAGCAGATGTTAATGAATAACAAGCTGGCAGTTAGTGCTACTTGTGTTGTTGAAAACAGAACTATAATGATCAAGAGTTCATTTTACAACATGCTATAAAAACCTAAAAGGAAATGCAAGAGATAAAAAAGATCAATATTAGCACATACACACGCAACCCTTCATTACTATGTGTAATAACAAAATAAATGTGTTTAAACTGCGCTGTCACTACAGGATGAAAAATGAATATTTAACCAGAATGAATGTTCATGAGCAGGAAAACACATTTCTGAATGAAGCTTATAACATACCAAGGGTTGCCACTTGTTTGCTTCTGCAGCAGAAGCTGTTTCTCATCACTGGAGAACTGCAGATCCAGCTCAAAGGAGTTGCTGTCCAGGTCATGGATGTACTGCTCAATATTGCTGCAGGATCTCAGTGGGACGATCTGAGATGAGCTGGATGCGACCACCTGCAGGCTTTTGAACTGACTGAGGAGATCTTCATACTGTGGGATTCAAATAAAACAGCAAATCAGCACAGAAGACCCAGCGAGCCTGCACTTACTAGCTCACA